GCACTAATGCGCTATGCACTATGCACAATGCACTCTGGCACTATGCAGCGCACAGGTAGCAACTATGCACTGCTGTACTATGCACTGATGCACTAATGCACTATGCGCTATTCACTATGCATCTATGCACTATGCACACAGTGTATGCACTATGCACGATGCACGATGCACTATGGCACTATGCACTATGGCACATGCACTATGCACTATGCACTCTGCCGCGGATGCACTATTGCACGTGCACATGTGCACTATGCGCCATGCCCATGCACGCATGCCTATGCACTATGCACTAGCACTATGCAATATGAACTATGCACTATGCACTATGCACAATGCCTATGGCACCCATTGCACGCATTCACGGAGCATGCACTAGCACCTCTGGCAATTATGCCTTTGCACTATGGCACTATGCCACTATGGCACTATGCTTTAATGCACTTACCACTATGCACTATGCACTATGCACTATGCACTATGCACTATGGCGACATGAACTTAAATGGGCACTATGCACATGGGCACAATGCACCATGGCACCATGCACCATGCAGCCATGCACCAGCACATGCACCATGCACGCATGCACATGCACCATCACCAATGCACCAGCACCATGCACCATGGCAGCCATGCAGCCATGCACGCATGCACCATCCCATGCACGCCTGCACCTATGCAAGCTATGTAGCATCACCATGCACCATGACTATGGGGCACTAGCACTATGCAACTATGGCACTCTGCACTATGCACTTTGCCACTCTGCACTATGCAACTCTCATTATGCACTATGCACTATGCCTGTATGCACCTATGGCACGCATGCACTATGGCACGCATGCACGCATTCACCTATGCCACTATGGCAACCAATGCACAGCACTAATGTACCATGCACCATGCACCCCTGAACTATGCATATGCCAGCTATGCGCTATGCACTATGCACTATGCACTATGCACTATGCACTATGCACTACGCACTAAGCACTATACACTATGTACTATGCACTATGCACGCTGCACTATGCACTATGCAC